GCTCTATATAGAGGTTTAATATTTGGTGGGGGGTACTTATTAGGGTGCAAGCTTTCCTCCTTTATGTTATTCTGACGCGCTCGAGTAAATCCCAAAATCCCCGGTTGGCCTCCCCTACTATTATTCCCTGTTGCCTGTGCCTATTGCCTGTGTCTATTGTGTTTCCAGCTTTACTAGTAGTTGTCGAACTAGTAAAAACACTAATTTCTCCTATAGTTATTTTCGTTTTTATTTATTTACTACAACTTGTATTTACGTGTAAAGCCTTATGTCCACGAAGCTAGAAATCGGTCCGAGAACTCGGATGAAGAAAGAATTGGCCAATCGCAATGGTCATGTGATCAAATTGTTCAAATGTGATTTGTTAATTTTTTCTCTGTCCGAGATCTTGGACCGATTTCTAGCATCGTGGACACAATGGCTTAACAACCGTATAGTGTAAGAACCTGTTTGTTAAGTTACCTACTCGCAGTAGTTTCGACCGTTGGCGCTAGATGACGGGATGTAAAAGCTCCGCCCGCATCGAATTTCCCAATAAAATTCTTAATTTTGTTTATTTGATACAGTAGGAAAAATTAAATACATATAGACATAATGAATTGTACGGCTTGAAACTTTATTTTATTGAGTTTCCTTCCGATTTAATTAATCGCCGCTTAAATTGATTCAAGTTTAATCGAAGTTGCTCTATAACAAGCAAGGAAAGTAACTTTTCGAGAAAATTTTGTGGAAGTAACAGGTGAATGAAGGTTCCTGCACACATGATGACAAGCAGCAAGACCTGTAGAATAAGGACTGTACTATCCAAAGTCTAAGACGAAAATTGAAGGAGAGCCAGGAGGCGCGGGCCTCTTTGTCTACCTCCTTGGAGATAGACACTTGCAACAAGGAAGAGGTCCAAGTAAAGTAAGCCTCGTTTCTTTCTTCTTTCATTTTTGTCGTAACACGAATCTCTCTTATGTATACTGCGACTTGACTTCCTTTTTTCGCAACAATAGAACGCAACTTGGATGTACATCTAAAATATCACGGAATATATGAATTATATCAGAGAGGTCCTTGCTAATTTTGTACAACACCGCGTTAGTTTATCCACCTTATACGACGACGTGATTCTAAAGCAGCAAGAAATTATCCAGAAGCTGCAACAGAACGAGGCAAAATCGAAAGGCACATTTTCACATATATGGAAAATGTTTGGCTTAATTTTAAGCTCATTATCATAAACAATTAATTCTATAATAATTGCAGAATTGGAGAACTGTGTTGCAAAATTGAAAAATTAATTGCGGCCTCAAAAGGAAAGGTATAATTTTCGTTATACTTCTGATAGTTTATCACGTAAACAAATATTTTTATCAAAATTGTGTTTTGAATCAGATTACAAGAGAAGTCTGCAAAACTAAATAAATTGCGGAAGCAATTGGAAAATTCTGAAAACAAGCTGCAGAATCAGAGGAATGAATTGGCGCATAAACATGCTTAAGAAAAGTTAATGCTCATCAAAGTATGTTGTTTAGGCAGTTTTTGAAGAGATCCCATAATTTTAGTTCTATAATTTATTTAACTTTTCTAATTTAGGAACAACAGCGGTTGCTATCGGAATGCGAGAATTTACAATCGCGACTGCAGACGATCGAGAAAGAGAAATGCGACATCGCGAAATCTGCCGCATAAGTTGAAAATTAATTGCTACTTTAAGAAGAGAAGTAAGTCATCGCACCACTCGCAATAAATTGCACAAACCTAATAGTGTTAACTAAACAATTTTTTTAGAATGCAGGAAGCACTGGTGGAGCAAAACAAATGGCAAGAACTAGTAAATGACGTTGAGCGGAAATTCCATTCACAGAAAAATGCGTTAGTGAGCGCACACGCCAAGGAATTCATATATTCCGTGATATTCTCGATGTACGGCCAAGCTGCATTCCGTCTGTTGTTGCTAAAAAAGAAAGTCGCAGAATATATAAGAGAGGTTCGTGTTACGACAAAAAAGGAAGAAGAAAGGAACGAGGCTTACTTTGCTTGGACCTCTTCATTGTTGCGTGTGTCTATCTCCGAGGAGGCGGACGAAGAGGCCTGCGTCTCCTGACTCTCCTTCAGTTTTCGTCTTAGACTTTAGATTGTACCGTCCTTATTCTGCAAGTCTTGCTGCTTGTCATCATGTTTGCGGGAACCTTTATTCACCTGCTACTTCCACAAAATGTTCATGAAAAATTACTTTCTTTGCTTATTATAGAGCAACTTCGATTAAATTTGAATCACCTTAAGCGGCGATTAATTTAATCGGAAGGAAGCACAATAAAATAAAGTTTCAAGCTGTATAATTCAGTATGTTTGTATGTATTTAATTTTTCCTATGGTATCAAATAAAAAAAATAAGAATTCTATTCACAATTAAGTTCATTGGAGTTTGATTGAATTTATCATTATAGAAATTACTTCTGAGCTGTTTGTAACAATTCGTACCTCTTCCATTTGCTGTAATCCATCATTGTTCCCTGTTTGGTTTCTCCATTGTGCGATCATTGCATCGACAAACTTGCCGCTGCTTTGCATGCTCGCGCGAACTTTTTCTACAAATTTTCGCATGAGAATCTCATGAAGATCAATTAAAGCGAAAGAAAACTTACGACCCTGCTGCATGTTTTTATGTTTTAAAATGTATTTTTTGATTGATTTATAACCAGGGATAGGAAAGTTACTTTGTAAAGTAATTAATTACAGTTACAGTTTTTCTCTTTCAAAAAGTAATTAATTACTGTTACAAGAGAGAGTTGACTCTAAAAACTAATTCGTTGTAGTTACAATTACCGAAAACGTAACTTTAAGTTACTTTTAAGTTACTTTTTTATCGAAATTTTTACTAGTAGTGTCGATACGATTAGCGCTGTATTCAGAAACGTTATCCAACTTCCTTCATGTATCATTTTACCCTTGTTTTTCACCTAATATTAAACAAGGATGATACACGGAGTCATCAGAGTAATGCAGTCTAAGACAATTAAAAAAAAAAGGTTTGCTTACATTTCAATGTTATACAATTTTATTCAAAAAGATAAAAAAATTGTATGGCCAAGACGTTTTTCGTTAAAGTAATATAAACACATATGAATATGAATATGAAATAGCACATATATACAATGTTTTTTGTAAAAAAAATTCTTTTTATATTCGGCTAAAAGTTGCAAATAAATTCCAACACTAATCCAAAATGGTCTACAACCGTTTGTTGTCAATGGTCCAACTGAGTGCTCTCTTGCATTTGATTGGCGGTTTCCATTAGATCCCAAAATATAGACCAAACAGGTACAAGAGTTCATTGGACGCTGTAATTAAATTTCTTTCTTCTGATTAATCAAATGTTTCGAAGTATTTGTAGCGCCAAGTGGACACTACCGCACACCAAATTGACAAATAAGTTTAAAATATATAAAATAACTATGAAAGTAACTATTAAATTAGTTACTAGTTACTTAAAAGATATAACTAAGTTAAGTTATAATTACAGATGGAAAGAAAGTAACGAAGTTAAGTTACAGTTATTGAAAAAAAGTAACTCCAACTGTAACTTTGTTACAAGAAACGAGTTACTTCCCATCCCTGTTTATAACGATCGAAGCTCAATTCGGGTTCTATTTTGCAGCTCAAGTCGCAGATGCTCAGATGTTTTAACAAAAACACCTCGCTTTTACAATTTAATATGATTGGTTGAATTTAAAGGTAAATATCAATCATGTTCTATTGCTTCTGTTGTGCCGCAATATAATCCGTACTAAAAATCTATAGTATACCTTGAACTCAGGGCTCGGCACGAAATGTACATTTCGGCCGATTTTCGAGTCGGCTCCGCCTCCCGCTATTCCCCTCACCG